TTGCTACCACGAAATGAACAAAGTGTTCTCCAACTGCAACAAGCGAGGAACTGAGCAACTAGCCACGGCAGTAAATAATGCGTCAATACACACGCATGCCACTTTTGTGGCAGTCATGTTGGTAATGCATTTGTTGTAGCAACCTACGAGTTGGTGTATAAAAAGTCAGCAATGTCTTTTGCTTTACGTTCGCCTGTAATTCGATGTCGGCACTGGCTGCAGCAGCAGCTGTGGTGGCATAAAGTTAAACGACACGCGTTGTCAAGCGTAACGCTTAACTTAAGGGCCATTAAGTACGTCGCATTGGCAAACCGTTAAGATCGTTATATGCCTAAAAGAGATCTAAAGTTAAGCATATATCTGCTTGTTTGCGTGTGCAAGTGTTACACGCAGCATTGTTGCGGGAAAAGTGTGTGGAATGTAAAATTTTTCCAAGGAAATTGTTGAGTAAATACCCACTGAGGGCAGCCTGCGTAAAATGCTGTGCGGTCGAGTGTTGTAAAGCGGAATGCGTAATTTATGGCCAAGCGGCAAATACACGACGATTAAACGGAAAATGTCGTGTGCTTTATTTGAGTAGAGTCGCAACGAGCTATTTGCTTTCCCGCCGTACGCTCGTCTCACTCGAATTGTGCTTTAAGCACCGAAGAAGCGCGTGTACGAGTGGGTATCTGTTGAGAAATTAGAGGTTGAAGCGTGATTGGTTGCTTGTTTGCCACTATTAGTGCGAATAAATATTTACGCGCGCATAGCAGTTATCCTTTAACTCCGAGAATACCCACATAAACACACCCACTGTGTGCGCTAAGTGATTTTTAAGGGCGTTTCAGTGGCGTAGAATACTACAAGTGTGTGCACTTGACTAACTGACGTTGCCACTGTTGCCAGCGCGCAAGCATAAGCTGGCTAATATTGTGTAGCTGCGTATGTGTGCTGTAATTTGGTATGTGCATGTGGGTGTATGCTTGTTGTAGACATTGCAACGCTATTGTCTTATTTAGTATTGACTCTGTGGTGTTTGTTTTGCCAGCGAGACGATTTGGTGCGCCTTACGGCACCGTTTAGTTACAGCTAACAACATTATTTACCTCAATTAAACACACTCGATTGCATAGACAAGCCCCGAAGTCAAATAATTGAACTTTGGGCGCGCTTTCAACAGCCATAAATTTCAGACAATTAATATCGAATTATCGAATATTAAAGTATGTATATAGCTTACGGTTTAATAAGCTAGAATAACTAAATGGAATACGTATAAAATATTAAATATTTGTTAGATACATTTTCATCGCTGCTAAACGCAGTGAATCTAACAACAGCTTTTGATATAGCGAATAGAAACATTGCTTATTGCTTAACGCAAGCATAACTGCGTTTAATTCTTGTGATATTAGCTGGTTAACGCAAACTTGAATGCTTAAGGGCAACGCATTTATGGCGCATACAGGTCACACACATGCTTATAAAATTGTATGAAAAATGTGTGTAGACGCACACGTGCAGCATCATTTTGCCATTGAACTGTTATCGTATAAATAGTGTTGCACAATTCATGGAAGCATACATGAGAATAAATAAATTGCGCATAATCACTCATACGCCATGTTGAGCGCGATTGTGTGCATTGCATTATGTGGTGTCTGTCAATGCAAGAGGCATTGATGTGCACTTTTGTCGATACAATCATTTCGGCAATGTACGAATTTTAAGCTGAATTTCCATGAAATCGCTCACGCGTACAAGCACACGCACAAACATTTAAAAACATAGGCCAAAAGAGTCAAATATACAAACGCATGCGTTGTTCAATGGAATTATCTTTGGCATAAAACGCGTATATAAGCACTTGCATCCCAGCACAAAACCGCTAATCTTTGCACATGGCAGGAGCGAGAATGGCGAAATTGCGATTTCGGCGGTTGTTAGGTAACGGTATTGTAGCAAGTGTTGACAACATTTTTCAATTTAACTCTATATATGGGGAAAAAAATAATCATAAGTAGAAGCGCTGAAATTGTTAAACTTTAAGCTGAAATTGCGCAAAAAATTTAGTAATTTTTACAGTAATCCTAAAGTACTGTAAAATGGCGCTAGCATGCAAAATTACACAATTTTAGTTAAAATAAAGCCCATGCATACAACCATAATCGTCTCCTACTCCTACCCACATATGTGTTATTTATTGAAGTTCATTTTCGCTGTTTTTCTGCCAACGCTAGACGCTATGACTAAACGCATATGCACATTGCCCTAATCTAACATAATAATAATATTGTACATAATATGCGCTGGTAAAAATTTATAGCGCTTTTCCAGTGTATTCGTTGATACACAGCGTGCAATTATTGCCAAATGTTACACATTTAGCACATTTGCAAATAAAAAATTCTATTTTTACCACTTTAAAGTCATAAATAACTTCAATGTTGTTGTATGTTTTGTTGTTATAAAGAAATTCCGCAACTTATCGCAGAAGTTAGTACATTCCTCAGCGCACACATACATACGTGCTTGTACTAGGGTTTGGAACGCAAAACCGTTATATTTTTTCATAATCGCTGATAATTTCATATGTGCGGTTATACATATGTATATATTTACACACACATCTGCTTATGTACATATGCTCTTTGTAGTGAAATTTAGTTGTTATTATTTCGCTTTGAGCGTTTTTGATGAAAAGACTCGCCTCTGATGTAAAATCCTTAATCACTTTTAGTTATGCAATTCAACACACAACCTTATGTAAACATGTACATACATGTTCGCTACGCTATGTGTAAAACTACTTACACTCTTGTAACTCTCTTTCATATGAGAACACAGAATTGTTACTCAATGAGATTAATAAACTCATACAAGTTGGTATATAATCCTTGTATATGTTGTATAATCAGATAACTAGAGTTATTTATATCTTTTAATATATTAGCTGTCTTCGATTCGCCATTTCTCTGCCGTATAACTCATTTAAGTGGTGTAGCCGCTATCTTCAGTGCTACCAAGTTTTGTTTTGCATATTTTAGATCAGTTTTACTATTGTGAATGGTTTAAATGACTAATGAAAATACAATTTTTTTTGTATTTTTAATAGTTTAAACACAATTCGGGCGACGACGAATATTTGTCCACCATGATGATTTTTAAGATAGAGCTATTTCTAATTTTATCCCCGAACGCGGTGGCAAAATATTATTTTCAGTAAACATTTTAAGAATTTTCCAAAAAGATTAAGAAAATGCCTGCGTTGGCAATATTAAGATTGTTTATGTTTGGTTTCATTATTTATTGTAATATTTTTGAGCGCGGAATACACCCTAGCTGCGACGAAAATCGTCCGTATTGTGTTTAAGCTATAAAACATAAGACTTAAAATCAATTATGGTTATTTATGGAAAACAAAATGTATGTATTACAGCAACATTTTTTAACGCGAAAGAATCATAACATGCGCATGTTTTAGAAGACATGCTAGCGCAGGGTTGCACCACAAGTGCTGCTCGTTTGTTTGAGCATCTAGTATAGCTTGTTTGATTCGCTGCTCTTCAGCGCTTGGCGAATCGAAGACAGCTATTAAGAGTGTTCTGTCACATTTTAGAGCACTTTTCTTCGATTCTACTTTTAATAAAGCTCAGTTTCAGATTCATTGCATTTATGATTTACAGATAACATGTAAGTAAAATATTATAATATGCAAACATCAAAAGGTTTAGTATACAAAAGTTCTCAAATTAGCTTAAATAATTGCTTTTTGACAGCTGGCAAAAACTGCTACTATTTTGTTTGTGAAATCTCTCTTGAAAATAAACTCGATGAAGAAATAGTGAACTCTTCGAGCCAATATTAGCGAGTTTTGACAGCAACTGTGCTTTAAACGGGAAAATTGGCTTTTATTCAAAGTCATGACGTCAGCAGCTTTTACTTCTTGCAACACAATAAAATTCAAAGTTCCTTGTGGAAAGTAGGAATAGGCAATATTTTTATTATTTTTGGGAATGGCATTATTATTGATTTTTTTTGTATCCTGAACAGGGTATATTAAGTTTGCCACGAAGTTTATTGCACCAAGAAGGAAACGTCGGAAACCCTATAAAATATATATATAAATGATCAGCATGATTAGCTGAGTTGATTTAGCCATGCCCTTCACAAAATTTGGAATGGATTATTATTTAAGGCAACAATGCCATCTCCAAAGAAATTGTATAGATCGGATGACTATAGCATACCGCTGTTATACAAACTGAACAATCGGAAGCAAGTACTTGTATGGAAAACTCTTTCATTTGACGAGTTATCTTCACGAAATTTGGGATGGATTATTATTTAAGGCAACAATGCAATCTCCGCAAAAATTGTGCAGATCAGATCACTATATCATATATCTGCCATATAAAATGGACTATCGGAATCAAGTTCTTGTAAGAAGCCTTTGCATTTGTAAAGGGTATTATAGCTTCGGTGCAGCCGAAGTTAACGATTTTTCTTGTTTGATTTTTTATCGTTTCTTTTTATAGAATCTCGCTTTTACCTTTAACAAAACAAACTCACAGTGTTGCATGGGGAATTTCACAATAATTTGTTGCTGTTTATAATTAATTTGATAAGTATTTAATTGTTCTATTGAATTGTAAATTTTAAACAATTAAGGATGCATTTCTATTTATTGCTTTAGATTAAAGTGACCTTACTTATTACTGCCTCTTTATGGCATATTTTAATATTTTTGGCATTATCACAACTTAGTATGATGCAACAGTTATCAGTATTAGCACAGACTTCAAACAATATTTTTACATATACATATATGTATGTATGTACGTATATATATTTGCAAATACGTGAATATATTTAATTTACCCATTTACAACTACGGAAACTTTTTTCGAATCCAAAACTAATATTTTTATTCTAAAATATTTTAAATTTTATTTAAACTATATTTTAAATTTTATTCAAACACGTTTAAATTATGCTTCTCTTGCTTTTCATTACAGTTATGGATAACGGTCTAAAAGATCGCCGTCATACCGCCAAAGTGACTTCGTTGCATTTATATAACATTGCTATCGGGTTGTAGATTGCGTACAACGAAAGCGTAAAATAATAGCAAAAATTCCACAAGAGAAAATTTAAAAAAATTTTGAAGTAACAATTGTTGCTTACGACAATAGTGTTAATCAAAAATTGCAAAAGCAAAGTTGTAGCCACAAACGGTGCGTTCTAACAAAAACATCGCTAAAACAAGCACGTGCATTGCAACAATAACAACAATATCGCGTAAGTAATTTCATAACCGTTATATTACATACATACTGGGTATGTGTGTATGTGCGTCGGCTTTGGCGAGCAAAAATGTTTATAGTGTCAATATTTTTAGAGAATATATATAGTTATTTATTTTTCTTTATATTTTTTTTTGCTAGAATTCCAATGCTTCAATGTCAATAAGCTGCGTGAAATTTTTCCGCTTGCTGTTTGTTTGTTCTGCGAGATTTTGCTATAATACCCAGTACATACAGTTACGCTCGTCCGAGCGGTTTTTGGTGAAATAACGCCATTGGCGGGTCAAATGCTATATTGTTGGCTCCATACTTGTATGTTTATGCTATTCGCTGTAGAAATGGAATAAATCAAACAAATTGCTTTAACTTGAGTTGTGTTTACAATGATACCAAATATGTGGTGGGTTGGCATTACTTTGGTTGGATTTTCGTATTACTAACAAAATTGAAAGATTACTGCTGTATTTTGAAAAACAAAGTGTACATATATCCAAGTTTAACTTTAACTATTTTTGCACACAAATATTATTTATTCGCACTTAATTTGAGGCACTGAACTTAATGTCTGCAATTTCGCTTCTTTGTAATCAATTTTGGCTTTTTTACGGCGGAACTGCGTCTTCTTCTATTGTGCATGACTTTATTAGTGCAACAGCTGTGAATTCGTCATTCATTTTTCATTGAAACTTTGGCATGATATATTGCTTGTGTATTGTTCAAGGTTAACAAATGACTTCACAGAAATCATAGCTTGGAATAAGCTTGTAGTATATGCTTTAAAATTACATATGAACTCACTCATTATATGAACACGTCTTCACTAATTTTATATAATAACATTTTTATAAACTGAATATTAAGATTGCCACGAAGTTTGTAACACATAGAAGGAAACGTCGGTGACGCTCTGGACTGTACGTATAAATGATCAGTGTAAAGAGCTGAGTCGATTTATTCATGTCCGTCTGTCTGTATATACGCCAACTAGTCTTAAAGTTTATGACATACCGATTTGAAATTTTGCACACGTCCTTTTTTCACCAAGAAGCTGCTCATACGTCGAAACCGCCGATATCGCGTCACTATGACATATAGCTGCCATACAAACAGATCGATCAAAACAAAGTTCTTGTATGGAAAACTTTTTTATTTGACAAGATATCTTCACGAACTTCAGCGGGAATAATTGCACAAAACAAAGATATAATCTCCGAACAAATTGTTTTAATCGGACGACAATAGATTATAGCTGGCATTCACGCTTACCAAGCAAAATTAAGCTATTCTATGTAAACCTTGTTTTTTTTATGCAATATTTCAGTGTAACCGAATTTAGGGAGTTTTTTTTAATTTTAATAAAAAAAATTCCATAATATTATTTTTCGATAAGTTTCTTCAATTTAATGTAACCGTCAGTAGGCATCTACGATATTTAAAATTGCTCTCACACCAAAACTCTTTGACAGCTACTTAGCCCGAAGCCGAAATATGGTTGAGATGCGCTAGTGTTCAACTTCTAAGGCTACGTTTAATATTTATATTGACTGTTTTGTAATTTGATATGCTGCCGTCTATATTTGACTGAAAACATGAGATATTTACCTGCTGCCTCACACCGTCTATCTGCATTCTATGTCGCAGCTTATATGAATACACTTTTTTTTTTTTTGCTTAAAATACTACATGACAAACACAATGCTCAGTTAATTGTGCAGCTTCACTGCTTCGCAGGGGAACCACCATGAGCACCTAACAAACACTCTTCACTCCACAGCAGCACTAGCAACGCCATCACTACCACTGTTTACGCGCATGTCAATTAAACTGTCAAGCACACGTGTTCACTTTAAGCCATTGCTCTCCGCATAAGCTTACCGAAACGCGGGAGAAGAAATTCATTTGAGTTCTTTGTGTATTTGCAAATGCTATAACAGTCAAACATAAATGGCGACACTACATATACATACATAGCATATGTGTGTATTGCTGCATGCGTATATGTGTGGGGGTAGGCAGTGAGAAACACGCTATTGTTTACATTCTCTGTTGTTAGCTGATTAATTGGTTTAGCCTAAAGGCCTAATGCAATGCACAATAATTAATAAAGCAATTCATTATTCATCAATATTGTAACAACAACAACAATAATAATACAGCATTATATTTTCGCTATTAAGCCAAGTACCCATTGCTATTTTTATACCAGCAATACATTCTGTTATTTGTTAATTTCAACAACTTGTAAATAAAATGGAAAGTTAGCGCTATAATATTGTTGTTGTAATATAATTTTTGCCCTCGCGTAGGCCTGAGGTAATCTTATCAATGAGCAAATAATAATTGTGCCTAATTTGTAGATACACATATTAATGTGACAAACGCATAATTTCGTGATATTTTAGTTACTAACTGATATTTTGTGTTTGTTTTTGTTTTGATTTCGGTTTTTTTTCTCTCTTTCTCATTGGACATATGCTATGTACGGCTACTATATTTTTGTTGTACACTGCTGTCACTGCACTATGCAATTTTGTTGCCTAATACAAGCAAAGACACATTGCAATAATAAGCTGCTCAAAAGTCAAACGGTTTTCGCACAAAGAATTACGTGGCAACACCCACGTTGTTGTCGGCTGGCGCATTGATTTCAACCCGCCGCTGTCGTTTACATATACATATATGTACACACACATACGCAAGTATTGTATGTAAGCTATGAGTGTTATTCACTTTACAACAACAACAAGCCATTGAATTTCCACGCGCGCTGATACATATGTAACGCAAATTGATATTTTAATGCTCATTTGGTTGTTATATGCATGTTGTTGTTGCTGTTTTATTATTTTTTAATACATTTATATAGTGCTGTTTGCTATTGTTGTTGTTTAAAATTAAATGTAAATAAATAATTGCTCATTTTGTAATTAAGTCAATAGCAGCACGAGCTAAACAACACCAGCAAAAACAATGCTTAAAAAATTCAAGCAAAAAATTCAAAACACATAAAAAAAATATACAAAAATAATAGTAAAAATACAACAACAACAACGGCAACAATTGAGCGTGCAATAATAACGCATAAATCCGTAATGGGTTGGCCGCACGCAGTGGCTTAAACGTGTGAAGCTTAAGCCATGCAAGCGGAAATATATTTCTTTGTACATATGTATGTACCTGTGTGTATGTGTGTGGGACTCTGCGCATATGTGTCAATTATATATATGTAGGTATCGATGTGCGAGATTTCAAATACACAAAAACAATAGCAAAACTGTCAGCGGCACCTGTCAACGAGCGTGTGAAAAAAGTTATTAATCATTTTTTGTTTGCAAATTTTTGCCATTTGTTAGGCTTTTTGTCTTGGCATGTATATCTTTGAATGTATTTAAATATTCGTGTATAAGAAATAATAATTTATTGTTATTTAAGCATTAGCGCATATACTTAGCTCAATTTCGGTGGCAAAGGTATTTTTGCGCTCTTTAGTTCACTTTTGGTTATTCATTTTTTTGTTTGTTCACCCTAACCTGGATATATTAAGTTTGTCACGATGTTTGTCACCCAGATGGAAACGTCGGAGACCATATAAAATATATATATATAAATGATTAGCGTTACGAGCTTAGTTGATTTAGCCATATCCGTCTGTCTGTCCGTCTATATACATATAGTATACGATCTAGTCTCTCAATTTGCGAGATATCGATCTGAAATTTAGCATCTGACCTCTTCTCACCAAAGAGCTGCTCGTTTGTCGGAATGGCCGATATCAGACCACTATAGCATATAGCTGCCATACAAACTGAACAATCGAAATCAAGTTCTTGTATGGAAAACTTTTTTATTTGAGCATTATCTTCACGGAATTTGGCATGGATTATTGTGTAAGACAATAATGGATTCTCCAAAGAAATTGTACAAATCGGATCACTTTGGTATGTAGCTCTCATACAAACTTACCGATAAAAATCAAGTTCTTGTACGGAAACTTTTGTATTTGTGAAGAGTATATTAGCTGCGGTGCAACCGAAGTTAACGTTTTTTTTTCCTGTGATGAGATCAGCTAGTACCGCAATCTTACTAATCAGAGGTAAACATTACTTTAATTTGCCAACAACATAAACAAAGCATCACCTGGCAGTAACACCGCGTACACTGCAACCAAAAGCTAGCGTTGTAATCGCAGTTCAGAGTCAGCTAAAAATAGCGTCTGTTTGTTAGATTTTATCTTTGACGAAACAATAACAAAAATTCGCGTAATAACTTCGGCGCCGTAGCTTGGCTTCAACAACGCGCCGAGCGGCCGAAATGTTAATTAACGCGTAGTACGCCGGAAATGACTGTCAAAAAAACACACATACATATATGTATATATATATATACTTGTATATATACATATATATTGTATATATATATAAATGTGCATATAAACATATTTGAATTTGTATTTTAATAAGAATAGCAATAAAATTCCACAACTGTGTACACTAAATACAAAAACACAATATAAATAAATAAAAGCGAAGCAGCCAGCAGCAGAGCAGCTCTCATGTGCTGCGAATGTGCCATGGTCAAGGTTGCTGTTGGCATGGTTGCCATCGCCGTTGCCAGCGGCACCAATAGTCGCCACCAGCAACACCAAACACGCACCCACATCTATTTAAGTAAACGTGTATGCGTGTATGTGACTGTGCCAAATACCAAGAGTCTGTGTCACTTCGCTCGGCACGCCGACGGCGCGTCGTTTCGATGCAGCCAAGATTTAATGAAATGAATACAAGGAAAGTGGCCCATAAATAAACGAATTGTATGGCGAAGTGGCGAAGTACGCACATACAGCTACTTGCATATGTGTGTGTGTGTGTGTGCGTGAGTGTGCGCGCTGAGAGTCAAACGAAATTGATTAACATTAATTAAAGGTTTACAAGTAACTCTTGCCCAGATGGTAGCTGTTGTGTCTGTTTGTGTGCATGTGTGGTTGGGTTAGATATG